ATCGAAACCCAATATGGTAGGAGTATCTAACCATTTGATATATGTTTCCCACATATAGCTTATGGCCAAATAAAGTGATATTACCGTGAAAATAATCCAATATAATCTTAAAGTATTAAGTATTACTTTAAAAAAAAAATAAAACAATTAATTATATTTTTGTTAACACTTAACTTTTCATAAAATGGTCGATGTATAGCGAAAATATAATTTAATCCATGCACCGAAGTTTTCTTTGAATATTCCCTTAATACGGCCTTATAAGCCGAAGACTTTTTTCCATATATTAAATTGGTCTGTATGATTAAATCACTGGGAACTTCACTTAATGCCAGTGATGTTAAACTTGTATTTAAGTCCCGTTGTTCTTCGTTATTTTTATTTGAAATTTTTTCATTTCTTCATTTTTCATTTTGCCTTGTTTATGGTCAAAATATGACTAAAAACATTTGGAACATTTCATATACTTTTATACATACTTGTCAATTACTGGATAATGTAAAATAGCTAAATGTGTGTAACTTTAATTAAATAATTTTAATCTCGAAGGACTATTTAAAATTTTCATTATATTTAATCGCTTAATACAAAATAGTTTCCGTAACATTAGTGTGAATACAACGAACAACACGTGCAGGATTTAAAGAACCAAATTTTAACTTAAAGCTGTCTATTTTTACTCGTTCTAGTTAGATCTTTTATACCAATGATTTGTGCTTAAAATTGTCTCATCTTTAATCGTTGATTTTCGTTCTACATAGTTCTGTTCAGTTCTAGTTCAGTTCTAGTTCAGTTCTAGTTCAGTTCTAGTTCAGTTCTAGTTCAGTTCTAGTTCAGTTCTAGTTCAGTTCTAGTTCAGTTCTACTTCAGTTCTAGTTCAGTTCTAGTTCAGTTCTAGTTCAGTTCTAGTTCAGTTCTAGTTCAGTTCTAGTTCAGTTCTAGTTCAGTTCTAGTTCAGTTCTAGTTCAGTTCTAGTTCAGTTCTAGTTCAGTTCTAGTTCAGTTCTAGTTCAGTTCTAGTTCAGTTCTAGTTCAGTTCCAGTTCAGTTCTAGTTCAGTTCTAGTTCAATTCTAGTTCAGTTCTAGTTCAGTTCTAGTTCAGTTCTAGTTCAGTTCTAGTTCAGTTCTAGTTCAGTTCTAGTTCAGTTCTAGTTCAGTTCTAGTTCAGTTCTAGTTCAGTTCTAGTTCAGTTCTAGTTCAGTTCTAGTTCAGTTCTAGTTCAGTTCTAGTTCAGTTCTAGTTTAGTTCTAGTTCAGTTCTAGTTCAGTTCTAGTCTGATTTTGAAAATTGTAATATTTTTTAAATTGAAAAAAAATTCAATAAACTTTTTTTAAATTTCCTTTATTAAATTTTTGGATTTTTTTTTTTTTAAATTTCGTTATAAATATGGTTTAATAGCGATCTTTTAGTTTTTGAAAATTTAATTTTATTAAGCAATTTTTATAATAACTTATGAAATACATTGTAAAAGAGTTTTATGATTAATTTCAAATGTGCAAATAGATATTTCAGTAATGTATTGGGTATCTAACATACATAATAATGCGCTATTTACATTCGGTTCCCTATAATGGGCCAGATGTTAGCTGCTACACTTTTGATCGCTCCAAATGCAGAGCAACATATTTATTTAGCTTTGATGTCGATTCGACATAATGTTTTTGACTGACCTGGACGATATGTGAGAATAATAACATTACTATGTATGCCAGATGGCATTTTATGTTATACATCCAATACATACCTTTAACTCATACAAATAGGTTTACCACTTTAGCTATATTCAAATCTTCGTTATTAATTTATTAAATCAATTAATATTAAAAAATCAATTAATATTCAAAATTTCTAATTGTTTAATTTTCTTTTGAATCTGTCTGCGTTTACGGAAATTATTAACTAAACGTACCGAAAAGAATATATTAATTCGATAAGACTTAACATAGAAACTCCCATAAATAGAGCGAATATTCCACCACAATTAGCAATTAATTGCGTAAGATCGTATAGAACAGTACGTTTAATGGCGGTAAATTGTGTTTCTCTAAAGTGAATGTTTAGACGTGATATACGAGTCCTAAATAGAAATACACATTTCGTTATAATAAAAAAATACATACCATACATACAATAGTCATCAAAAATATGTATTTACATACTTCTTATATCTATCTCCACGAATTGCTTTAACCAGTGGCATCGGTATCAAAATATGCTCGATTTATTTCGAAATTATATTCCAATGAATTGCAGGCAGGCATGCAATCACACAATATTTTACAGTAGGATCTTTAGCTTTTGAGCTGTTTGATTGGCTATTAAGACTTCCAATTCATTGGTGGCATTGGTGTAACACGGTCACTTTTGAAAGATCACAAATAGGAATATCCAAGGGTTCTTTAAATAATGATAATTACTTTATTAATAATGATATTATCCCATGAAATTTTTTTAGTTCTTATTTAAAACCAGAGTCTACCTGGAGAACAAAAAACTAGCTAGTTTTTAAAACGTCATCATCTTTTCCAGTTCTAGTGCAGTTCTAGTTCAGTTCTAGTTCAGTTCTAGTTCAGTTCTAGTTCAGTTCTAGTTCAGTTCTAGTCATTCAGTTTCAGTTCCAGTTCTAGTTCAGTTCCAGTTCAGTTCCAGTTCCAGTTCAGTTCCAGTTCAGTTCTAGTTCAGTTCTAGTTCTAGTTCCGTTCTAGTTAAGTTCTAGTTCAGTTCTAGTTCAGTTCTAGTTCAGTTCTAGTTCAGTTCTAGTTCAGTTCTAGTTCAGTTCTAGTTCAGTTTCTAGTTCAGTTCTAGTTCAGTTCTAGTTCAGTTCTAGTTCAGTTCTAGTTCAGTTCTAGTTCAGTTCTAGTTCAGTTCTAGTTCAGTTCTAGTTCAGTTCTAGTTCAGTTCTAGTTCAGTTCTAGTTCAGTTCTAGTTCAGTTCTAGTTCATTCTAGTTCAGTTCTAGTTCAGTTCTAGTTCAGTTCTAGTTCAGTTAGTTCAGTTCTAGTTCAGTTCTAGTTCAGTTCTAGTTCAGTTCTAGTTTCAGTTCTAGTTCAGTTCTAGTTACAGTTCTAGTTCAGTCTAGTTCAGTTCTAGTTCAGTTCTAGTTCAGTTCTAGTTCAGTTCTAGTTCAGTTCTAGTTCAGTTCTAGTTCAGTTCTAGTTCAGTTCTAGTTCAGTTCTAGTTCAGTTCTAGTTCAGTTCTAGTTCATTCTAGTTCAGTTCTAGTTCAGTTTCTAGTTCAGTTCTAGTTCAGTTCTAGTTCAGTTCTAGTTCAGTTCTAGTTCAGTTCTAGTTCAGTTCTAGTTCAGTTCTAGTTCAGTTCTAGTTCAGTTCTAGTTCAGTTCTAGTTCAGTTCTAGTTCAGTTCTAGTTCAGTTCTAGTTCAGTTCTAGTTCAGTTCTAGTTCAGTTCTAGTTCAGTTCTAGTTCAGTTCTAGTTCAGTTCTAGTTCAGTTCTAGTTCAGTTCTAGTTCAGTTCTAGTTCAGTTCTAGTTCAGTTCTAGTTCAGTTCTAGTTCAGTTTAGTTCAGTTCTAGTTCAGTTCAGTTCAGTTCTAGTTCAGTTCTAGTTCAGTTCTAGTTCAGTTCAGTTCTAGTTCAGTTCTAGTTCAGTTCTAGTTCAGTTCTAGTTCAGTTCTAGTTCAGTTCTAGTTTAGTTCTAGTTCAGTTCTAGTTCAGTTCTAGTTCAGTTCTAGTTCAGTTCTAGTTCAGTTCTAGTTCAGTTCTAGTTCAGTTCTAGTTCAGTTCTAGTTCAGTTCTAGTTCAGTTCTAGTTCAGTTCTAGTTCAGTTCTAGTTCAGTTCTAGTTCAGTTCTAGTTCAGTTCTAGTTCAGTTCTAGTTCAGTTCTAGTTCAGTTCTAGTTCAGTTCTAGTTCAGTTTCTAGTTCAGTTCTAGTTCAGTTCTAGTTCAGTTCTAGTTCAGTTCTAGTTCAGTTCTAGTTCAGTTCTAGTTCAGTTCTAGTTCAGTTCTAGTTCAGTTCTAGTTCAAGTTCAGTTCAAGTTCAAGTTCAGTTCTAGTTCAGTTCTTGTTCAAGTTCAGTTCTAGTTCAGTTCTTGTTCAAGTTCAGTTCAGAGATATTAATTTAATATGTATAACTTAACTTACTGGGCATCCAAAATTTAACACAGCCACACTTTGCTATAGTATAATTAGTTAAACATTCTGCTTGACAATTAGTTTGTGTATAGATTTTAAAGAAATATAAATTTCGTTCATTATTAAAATAGCATTGTCTCCTAAAGAAAATATACACAAAAAGAAAAATCCATTATAAGTTCCTTAAATGACTACCCGAATAATTGTCATATTTTTAAGAAACGATATACAAATAATTTTGTATCTTACTTTTCTGGCTCAATATTCCATAATTGTTTTGAGATGTTATATACTGAGGTGAAAGTGTTACCATTACTTCATGAGAATAGGGAACTAATATATAGTTTCCCATCGTTAATGGTATACTATCGGGAGAGTTTATAAATAGCTATATAAATATAGATACATATATAGCGAGTAAATTACATCTAAATCTTTGTATAATGCACTCATAGCATACCTTAAAACCTTGTTTAAATCTTGTACACTCATAGTCATTATCGTCCGTATCAGAATCTAAAAGTACACGAAAACCATAACGTGCCGATGATAAAGTGGATCTTTCCAGATATGTACTAAAACCTTGACTTTGATAATACTCATCAAATGATAAATTTCGTTTTTTATTTAAATAACAATATGATTCATCATTTTTATAGCTCATGTAACTGAAAATAAATGAAAATATTTGTTAAGTTTCCACTTTAATTGTGTTCGTACTTACTCGGGATTTTGTAAATATCTTGATGTTGTAAACCATTAAATTGATAGCATACTCCCTCATCGGTAAGTACCCTTTTAAGACAATCGTAATAAACTATTCCTTTCCATCGTATTATATATATGTACCGGAGGCTATATTTAGTAGATTTTGTACTATATCTACTGTTAGGTTTTTTGGTACATAAGGATAGAATTTATTAATAACTTCTAGGTCACATGTTTGCAATGTAGTCAGAAACTTTTCCAAACTATGGAGATACATTTATATAAAATTATTAAAATTTTATTATACTCTAGGAATAATTTTAGGATTTCTTTTAAATTAACTAGTTATAGAAGAGATTAAAACCAAACAAATTCAAATCAAACTTGGGACTAGTGATGTTGCTATTATAAAGCAATTGAATTGATTTTTCTAAAAAATCAATTCAATTGCTTTATAACAAGCATGGAAATGGACATTTTAAAGACTAATCTACGGACTAGTCTATAGACTAGATTACGGACCAGTCTATTGACTAATCTAGGGACTAGTCATTTGTCTAGTCTATGGGCTAGTCTATGCACTAGTCTATTGACCAGTCTACTAAATTTTTAATTTATAAACACATCAATGTTTCAGAGAAACACTTTCAGAAGTGAAATCTACGGACTGGACTATGGACTTTATTGACTAGTCTGTGGACTACGTTATTGACTAGTCTATGGACTAGCCCATTGACCATTGACTAGCCCATTTACTAGTCTATAGACAAGTCAATGGACTTAACTAGGAAATAGTCAGAGGAATAGTCTATTGTATTGTTGTTTCTGGGGTTGACAGCCCTTGGCCGAATAATTCGGATCATTCCGGTACGTAGAACCGGTTGTCGGGGAATGCAGGAATAGTCTATGTACTAGTCTATTTACTAGTCTTTTGATTAGTCTATTGTCTAGACTTTTGACTAGTCTATGGGCTTGACTTTTGTCTAATCTATGGAATAGTCTATTAACTAATCTATTGACCAATCTATTGACTAGTCTACTAGATTTTTTAATTTATAAACACATTAATGTCTCAGAGAAACGTTTTTAGATCTGATTGCGAATTCAATGGTTCCCAGGTTATTGCCCAAGTAGTTCTGCTTGTACCCATTCTAAAATTACTTAAAACATTTTTATTAACTGGAATGAATATGTGAAAATGTTATAGCATTTTTGAAACTTTATAATTGATTATTAAAATAAAATTTTTGTTAGAAATTAATTTAATTTAGTAACACTTACTAATGTTCTCTAAAATATGACGTTTCATTATGAAATTCATTTAAATTTTCCATTTCAGACCAAAACATATTTGACACATAGCTAAAATCGAATTTGAACGCATCTCGTTTGTTTTCCGGACAAATGGTTACAGTTGGAAATGGTATTTTATGAATTTTCACTAGAGTTTCATCGAATCCCAAAACCGTTGGAGAATCTAACCATTTTACATAAGTTTTCCACGTATATTTCCCCGCAAAAAATAGAGATATTAAGAGGAAAATAAGCCAAAATAATCTAGAAATATCAAGCATTAAATTTTTAGTTAAAAACATATAAATTTTAATTAATTTTTACATTAACATCACTTAACTTTTCATAAAATGGTCGATGTATTTCAAAAATATACTTCAAACCATGTACGCTAGTCTTCTTGGAATATTCTCTTATAACAGACTTATAAGCGGTTTTCCGATTTCCATATATTAAATTAGTTTTAATTATAACACTACTAGAAATATCACTTATAGTTGGTGAATTTAAATTTGTGTTTGGAATGTCCAAATTTGTATTTGTTGAATTTTTATCCTGTTCAAGTTTCATCGTTACTAGCGCAACAGCGGAAATGTCCAAAATATGACTGCCATCATTTTGAAATTTTAATGTCCTTTTATACTTCTTGTTAATTACTTGTTTATCTTAATTATATGAGTGAATAAAACTGAATAAAATTATTATAATCTCAAAGGGCTATTCATTTCACAGTGTACACTGCAACTATTATTACATATATTGTGCATTTTTGGGAATTTTTTTATTATACCCTTATCACTATAGCGCAGAGAATATAATGCATTTGTTCTGATGTTTGTAATGTATAGACATAATGCATTACAAACATTAGTCCATTGACTATCCTATAGTTTAATCCACAGAGAAGTCAATAAGCTTTTCCATAAACAACTTATTATAGACTAGACTATATTCTGTAGTCTAGTATATTCTAGTCTATAGACTTGACTACAGACAACACTATAGTCTATACTATAGACTAGAAGAGTATAGACTATGTTCCAAAATCTGATTTTTTTTTCTACATTTCTAAGAAGAAAGTTATACATATTCGATTTTTAGTTAAAACTGTTTTTTTTCAATTTTTTTAGAAAAGCAAATACATTTAATTAAAAATAAATACTTAATTTTTCAGACTTGCACTTAAATGATAATAAAACATACAAAATGTGTTAACAGTGTTTGTTTAAAAATATATGTGTATGTATATTTAAGCAGTCTTTTTCATAAAAAATGACGCTATACTTTTAGTGCCTTTAGCACTTTTTGCCAATGACTTCTCTTTGGCACTTAATGAACGCTCCTTGAGAGGCGTAGCCGTGGCAGCTTTAGGTGATTTATGTTCCTCTTTAATAGATGTATTTACTTTATTTTCTTCTTCCTCATCCTTGATGTCCTCTTCTTCATTGTCGAGAGATTCATCTAATAAATTAGAATTCTTTAGTTTAGAGGCTGCACCATTTTCCAGTTTTTGTTTTTTGGTACCAGCACTAGTAAGTTTATCACCAGATTTTCGTTTATTTGTAGAAGCCTTTTTATCCTCTGTTATAGCTTGAATTTCAGAGGGTATTTCCAATAGTTTTGTTAACTCCTCGTGTAATTCGACAGCTATATAACTACCCACATAATCACAAGCCATACGCAAATAATCACTATCTTTAGCCGTTTCATCTAATGCCTTTTCACTTCGGGCAAAATTTTGTGATACGGCACTATTGCCGCAATAAATGCCACTACTCTGTAATAACTTTGCCAAGCGCTTAGTTTTAAGGGATAACCAAGCCATGGTCTTATCATGATTATATTTGTAGAATGTCATATCTCCCCCGGCCGTTTTTACATCAGCTATGCAACCCAAATTCTTAGGATCAACAAAATGGTTAAGAATTTTCGCTGCACTAGGATCTTCATCATCGTGTATACTATCCAGTGCCAAGGCTCTTTTCACACAATGTTTACGCAAATGATGTAATGCTAGGAATGTTACATCGATTGGTGTGGTAAAATATATATGACCATTTGAACATACTTCGCTGTCAATCAGCCAGCTCCTTCTTGGTTCAGCAAATTCCAATATTTCCATTATATGCTTGTCATCCTTGGTAATAAATAAAGCCGCCTTTCCCTTGCCCGGATGATAAAAACGTTCCAAACTTAATTTTTCTGTTTCATCTTGCAGCATGTGTTGAGAAATGTAAAAGATTTTTCGTAAAGCCGAGGGAACGGAGGAGTTTATTTTAGTTTTGGTGCTGGCATCTGGTTCTTCTTTGATTTTAGTGGAACGCGTTGATTTTGATTTACTCATTGTTATTTGATTTGTAAAATATATGTAAATTGCTTAATAAAAATAACTAGTACGAAATAAAATCGCATCAATTTAACAAATTGCGCGAAATATGTTTGTTTACATTTTTTCTGCTTAATATTGCCGGACTCTTTTAATTAAACTAAAAGAGTTACCAACTTTAAATAACAACTTTTTCGTGTTACCATACTAGAAACGTGATTGCATAGATTAATTTTATCGATAACTGGAATGGTTTTAATTTAATTTAATAAATTTTGTTAATATTCGAATTACTAGTATTAAAATCATAAGGATACATATGTTCTGAATGCTTATATTTCTATAAAAATCAAATTATAAAATAAAGTAACCTGTAGACTAGATTATATACCTTAATATAGACTAAACTAAGGACTAGGCTATAGACTAGACCAGCGGTTCCCACCGATTTTTACTTCGCGGACCCCTTGAAGAACTTATTTAATTTCGCGGACCCCCATACATATTTTCATATCTTATTGTTCTAAATAATTGTCCATCCGAAAATTGACCTAGTTCATTAATTCCTAGGTCTAATAAATGTAGTCATATCTATAAAATATTCCCGTACATTGAGAATACATAATATTTCAGATAGGTTTTCAATTGCATGTTTTGAAGATAGAATGACTTCTTTGTTGATATGTTAACATGATGTTTAATTTTATGATCGTGAGATCTTTCATGTTCATTTTTCTTCAAGATAGCGAAAAGGTTTCTTTATCAAATATTGTCACATGTGCTTAAGGAGTCACGTTTCAAAAATTTGTTGGGATTGCAAAGGGTGAACTGAGTAAGTGAGCTAAGTTTTTGGGAAAATAATATAAGAAAGTTGGACTTCTTCTATGTTGTTGCGGAATGCGTTATCCGCATAATATATGATTTGAACTCTTTGTTAAAGTACTGTGAATTTGGAACTTAAATTTGAATTTTAAAATACCAACGAATTATTTTACTTCATGGTTTTTGGCTACATATTTACGCGAAACGCTATGGATTTTCTGATGTTAATTTAATAATATGTATTGGTCGACAAAATCAAGTTAAAATCTGTGTTTCACGTCGGATTGGAATATTTATAAAGAGATGCATAAAGAGTCACCTCTGTTTTGAAAATATATAATTTTAGTCCTTTCAAACAAGAACACTTTTGCTTACAATTTGATAAACTTAAATCTGTAATAAGCTTGTCTTTGAATTGAACTTCATACTCCGGAATACCAGTATCCCTAATTTAATTGTAAGGCAGAGTATTCTTTGTCTGAAATAAAAACCATTATTTCAGTACATATACAGGAAATAAAAATTACAAATCACGCAATACTTTAATTATAAAAGTTATACAATAAATTTGTAGGGCCTAGCTTCTTCCTGATAAACAACCGAAAAAATAAAATTCAAAAAGTCACCAAAAAATTTGGGATTATTGCACAAAAATTGGAGATATTTGTACATACATATAAAAGCAGAATATTGTTTAATCATGGTTTTTTTCGTTCGTCTTCGCGGACCCCCTAGGATTTTACTACGGACCACTAGGGGTCCGCGGACCCCCATTTGGGAACCGTTGGACTAGACAATATAATAGACTATACTGTAGACTGGACTATAGACTAGACTATAGCCTAGACTATAGTTTAGACTATAGTTTAGACTATAGCCTAGACTATAGACTAAACTATAAACTAGACTATTGACAATACTATAGACTAGACTGTAGGCTAGACTATAGACTAGACTATAGATAAAATCGAGGCACAACATTCGGCAGAAAGGTCGTCAACAGTACTTCCCATTTAAAATACACATGTTTGATGTCCTGGTCCCTTACGGTATGTCTAGCCAGCAATGTAAAATGGTGCAATCATGTTGACACTACCGACGCCTCAACAAAGTTTCTTATTTGACGTTGTAGCAGCAACTCGAGGGGGGCACGTAAATACTAAGCATATACATCGAACGTTGAACAAAGTTTTACGTCGACCAAATTTCAATGAGCGGCACATTATTAGATAAAAGAAAACTTGCTTAAATGAAAACAAATTAATTTAATATTGAAAAATTCCATAAATTTAGCAAAAGTATTCTGTAAATTATACAAAATATGGACCGGCCTTAATCGGCTTTAAGCCGAATTGCGCGAAATAAGTTTGTTTACATATGTTTCTGCTCAATATTGCCGGACTCTTTAAATTAAAATAGTCGAGTTACCAACTTTAAAAACAACTTTTTTGTGTTACCATATTATAAACGTGATTGCGTAGACTAATTTCGTTAACCGAAATGGTTTTTAAAAAATTTAATAATTTTTGTTAATATCTGAATTACTAGTATTGAAATCATTAAGATATATGTACATTCTCAATTCAGATTTTCAAAGACTAGACCGTAGAATAAACTATAATCTAGATTACATACATAACTATAGAGTAAACTAAGGACTAGAATATAGTCTAGGCTATATATTATAGACTAGATTATAGAATTTACTATAGACTACACTATATACTAGTCTATATAAGAGTCCCTTGACTAAGAACAATAACATCTTCGTATTAGACATTTAAAGAATTTTGTAAAGAAAACGTCTGCATTGAAAGATGCCCTTTAAATGTTTAAACACTTTTTGCAAAAGCATTTTTTATTATTAAGATTCATTATCATTTTACATATCGTTTTTTTTTTTTTATTCAATATTTTTCTTTATTGTGAATTGTAATTGTTTTTTTTTTATTTTTTCAATATTTTGTTTAATTAATATAGTAATTTAATGAAATTTCATATATATGTATGCATGTAAGTAAGTGTATGTAAAGTAGATGGTGTGTAATATTATGTGTAGTTTTGTAATAATAATTTATTACTTAATTCTTTTTATATTGATTAAATATTGTTTATTTATTATTGTTTTTATTATATGTTTTAATCGATGACAATAATAGCGAAGGTAAAAGGATTTTGCAAGAGCAATCAATTTTAATAAGAAAATTTATTTATTTGCAAAAGATAGAAATAATATTTGAATTTGAAATAAAGCCTTGTTATTTGAAGTTTTGATATAAGAACAAACCTAAGGCCATAGGCCAGACAAATAGACAAGCTTTTAGTGCAGAAAAATAGCCGTCTATAGACAAAATAATATAGAAACGATCATAGTCCAGACCAAGACAGGACCCCATTCCATACTTTACACGAGGTTATAGTCCAGACTAGGTCGGATCTATAATCCAGATTATAGTCTAGACTACAGACAGACTATTGACTGTGCTATAGTCCAGAAAGGACTTTAGTCCAGACTATAGCAGTGACTATAGTGCAGACTATAAACAGGACTATAGTCCAGACTATAAACAGGAC